CTTCGCGTTAGAGTGATTTTAATCATATTCCTCGGATAAATTAAAATTTATAATATGGATAAAATTAAATAATTAACCCTGCAACGGGACTCATGGGTCATTCGTTGTTTTGAAAATGTGAATTCCTGGGAAAACAGTTAGGCTCGGGCTTTTTGTTTTGGTATGTAAAAAAAGTTTGGGGTGGGGATGGAATGTGGCCGCCAGCGCGCCGGAATCCACCAGTGTACCTACGACTGGCAGCGAGAACAAATCTCCGAACGACACGAGTGATCCATGAATCCTACTAACGTATGTAAAATCCGTTTTAAAAAAAGTAGTTTTTTTTTACAAATATGTTTCTTAACTCGTAATATATATAATTTTAAAGGTTTGAAGTCGATAAGTGCGCAAATGAGTCTAAAATATGAAAAAAATATGAAAATATGAGTAAAATATATGAGTCTAAAATAGCGACAGAATGCCAAAAAGAAAAAGGTGTCACTTCTGCCCAACCAAAACAGACAGGAAAACGTTCTTCTGCTGTTATAAATGCAAAGAACCGGTTTGTGACGATCATCGACTTGCGTGATGCTGTCCAGAATGCTCGTAAAATTTCAAATGATGTAACATTATGTTATTAATTATGTAATTTTATGTTAATTTCATATAAATGCCAATACTTGACAACTTACCTACAGAGTGTTTCATTTTAATCATCCATATTATATCTTATATTTTTCAGTATTAGGTTCCATAAGCCACCATTAGAAGATAAGCGATATTCAACTCTCAAAATAAATACCCTTTTTTAGAAACTGGAACTTTCCTATATTTTTTTCTTAAAGTACCTACCCTTAAGTAAAAAGTCCTAGTAGGATTTTTTTTATAAACTAATTAACAAAAGTTATGAATTTTATAAATTTACTCCGATTTGCCTTTGTTCAAAATCAAAATTTTTAATGACAAAATAATCTTTATTATGTTTTTATTGTTGTGATTGATAAATAAGATGTCAAGGAACATCTATGAATTTTTTCAGAATTATTTGTTTACTTTAAGGTTATTTAAATCATCGCGGACACCAATGACCCATGAGTCCCGTTACTGGAGGTCGAAAAACAGAGTCCCGTTGCAGGGTTAATAATTAATTGAAAATTTTTCCTGAAAAACCGATCGCGAAAACCGACCGCGAAAATACAAAGATGCGTGTGACTATGCAAAATGTACATACATATAATTTTATATTCTAGATTATATGTATATTTTTTATCTATTTCTCTTGTTTTTTTTTCCTGTTATATTCGGTTAGGCTTATAGCAGAAGTTCTTGCATGTATCATTGTGTATTGCAATAAACATAACAACAACAACAGAAAAAATAATAATAACGACTCTCTTGTATAATTGAATCCCTTTTTCTATCCATTTATATATCTTTTCTATTATTATGTATAATCAATAGCGATTTATATTTATTTAATATAATACAACAATTGGTAATAATTATATATAAATTTTATCTTTTATCCAACTTTCTACGTATGCACATATCATCATTATTTTTAGAATAAGCGAAATACAAAATATCGGTCTTCGACTGGAAAATGAAATTATGTTGCCGATTAACTATTAACTCATTGAATAGAATTTTTGTTTTACATTGCAGCGCTACGATCAGGATTAGTCGGAAATGATTAGCTGCTAATAAGCGGAACTAATTTCTTGCATGGACAGCGTTCCCGATCCCGAACCTGATACGGAAGTGGTGTTCGTCGAAGTATCGCTGTTCATCGGAATCTTGCAAAATGGGCCGCAACTACGCCCACCGAATCGTTTTAGCAGCAGCTTCTTGATTTTCTTTGTACAGACGAATATGATAAAAATGATGACACCTTGCAAGGCATTTATTATGTAGGTGGGATACCAGACTACCTCTGGCACGAAATCGGAATTGATCGACCATGCTAATAACTCCATAACCCAGGTTATTCCCATTACTATAAACAGCTTCAGGTACATATTAAACCTGTGTGAAAAACATATATTTTTATATTAGCTACGATTACGACCATTATTATAGATATTAGATATATGTATGGGATTTCTGCTAAGAGTATCGAAGTACACACGAACACAGATATTTTATCGTTATTTTTATAATATAATTTTAGTAACATTAAGAAGCACAATCTCTAGCAAATCTAATATTATATGTTAAGAAATAATAGGCTAAATTTTAATCACAGAAAATATAAAAGTTTCTCTTAAGAAATGCAATATTTAAATTTATAAATTATAAAGATTAACAGCTATATGAAAGCGTAAAAATTATGCTCTTGTTGAAAGTAAGAAAGTGGGATTCGATATTACTTTCGAAGTTTCCTGGTAAGCGGATATATTTGGTTCTTTTATTAAGACAAATTTATATGTATCGATATACAACGCGGATGTACAATAGCAAACGTTCGATGATTGTATTATCCTGACAATAATATTTATGAAATAATCTTTATCTGGTCTAATAATGGAAATCGGAGAATTGCGTATCGTGTAGTTTTTTTATCTGAGTGGCAATAATTTTTTTGTAGTTTGTTAATTCTTTTCGATCGTACGGACCTCTGCTTATTTTCATTGTGACGCTTGCTCTCCGAGTCTCTTAGCTGATGGGCGGTCCGTTTATTCTGATACAAAATCGTTAGCGTTGTGACGACGAAGAAACAAATATTAGCGACAACAGTAGCACCCATAGGTACATAGAAATATATAGTTCTTGCATTGTTCTCTGAAACGAATTCTTTGCATTATACGCTAGTACATGTAGACATCCATTATTTTCGTTAAATTAAATTTAATCGAGGCTTCAGTTAACTGTTAGAGATGGCATTGTCAATGCAATACTTACCGCTGAACCAAAATTTTATCCTACACATTTGCGGTCGGATCCAGCTTTTGGGTATTCCTGGGGCATAATCCATGATGGCGCAGATAACATTAATGATGAAGGTAATTCCCCACGCGTATAATGAATACATCACATACTTCTTTTTATCTTGCTTTACGCTTGTTTGATACGAACGACATCCTCTGTGAAACGTGCGATTATTTAGTCAATGATAAATTGTTTTTCAACATATGTACTTGAAAATGAAAATAGCTTATTTTTTTGTACAATACAACCATTTCTATCTTAAAAGTAAGGAGAGATTTCTTGGCGTAAAGTTTATTGGGTCTGACTGTATGAAATATGAAAGTCAACAAAATCAGCTTTTGTACTTAAAATTGAACATTGTGATACTTGCGTACTCATATAATATGAAAAGCTGTATTGTTTACCTGAACGTCCACCAAATATCGAAGCACGTTACGTTCAACCAGAAAAAACTCGACAAAAACGAGAAATTGAAAATATAGGCTGGAAAGATCGAAAAGATAATGTATTAAATATGAATCATGTATTAGAATATCGATCAGATTTATAGTTATTAATATACTTGTCTGTGAGATTTACTTAACCTTCCCGTCTTACAATTTTATAAAAAAAAAAGGTAATTTGAAACAAATGGTGTATCGAATCAAGTACGTTATCGTATAATTTCTGCAACAAGATAACAAATTATCTACAAAAATGTGACATGCATAATTATTACTTGTGCTTTTAAAAGTTTAATGACTTTCATTTTATTGAGTTAGAAAGAAACAAATACGTCTAATCTAATAATTGTATACGTAAAAGATATGTTGCTACATTATTATAGAGTTTATGCTGTACCTAGTGGAACGCAATATTTCCATGCTGCTAATGCAGAAGTTTGTTGGCCAAAGTACATAATCGCGTACGTGACAAACAATGAGGCAACGTGTGCACGCAACGTGTAACCATGCATGTTCCGGAGCTCTGGTAATATAGAATACACGACGAATGTCAGCAGTAGAAACGGCAGAGATATCAGGAGACACACGGATACATATATCGGAAATCTAGTTTTACTAGTACAGACGATCACGTCGTAAATATTTCGCAGCAAGATGGCAATGCAATAGGACCTCGGTGAGATGAGCGCGTTGCCGGGGCCTTGATATAAAGAGCCATTGACGAGGAACCGGTACCCACTGGGATGGAGCAAATAGCGTCCAAATTCTTGTTCAACGCACGGATCGCGAACGGTCAGTCGAAACAGCTCGTTCAATCTTTTGCCCACGGAATTGTTTGCATCTTCCAAGGTCACGCCTGGAAAGGAGTAATTGTCCTGCCCGGCGACGCATTTACCCTGCACCGTCAGGCTATCGCCAAAAGGACAGCAGAGCTGAATGCATGTAACGTCGTCACACTCTTCGTACGGAACAATGGTAGCTGTAGTATTATTATAGTCGTCATTATTGGAATTTTCATAGAGTTCGTGTGACGTGGACTCGCTCTCGCCTTCGGTCCCCGTGAGATTTTCATTCATTTGTTGAAACACGAGGTCGCCGACCTCTGTAGAATTTTCATTAGGCTCCGTAGATACCGGATTATTCCGTTCGCGATTTCTACCGACATATCCGCGAGTCTCGTGATCGTTTCTTGTAGAATTAACACGGGGCTTATATCGCATCTCGTAGTCGTCCTCGATAGAATCTTCACATGAATTGCACCACCGTGTTGGCTCAATCTCGTTTTTCGTAGAATTTACGAGGGGATTGTACCGTACCGTCGAATTGTCGCTCCGCTCATCGCCAATCGTAGAATTTGTCCGAGACTCCGAGGTTGAAGCAACAAGCACGAGACACCACAATACAATTGGTGGAAACATCATTAAATTACTCATTAGTTCGGTTTCTCTCTGTGCGTTTTTTTCAGTAAAAATGTCTAACGCGAAACTACGCGATATAATTATGGAATCGAGCGTTATAGCTGCATTCTGCAACGGTTTTGTCCGAGGAGCTACAAAGAATGAATTTCATTTTGGAATGGACACGCGAATGCATGTTAGAAAAACCAATGACATCGACTGAAAAAGGTACCTAGACAAGGCAGGTTCTCGACTGTGGATGACAGAACGACAAGGAGAGACTTTGAATTCTTCGAAAACGACGATCTCTAGTGTATATGAATGTAGGATAATTCCTACTAAAGAACGGGGAAAAAGTTATTGTTATAATATCTTGTATCCACAGTGCTCATAAACCCATAGTGTAAGACTCCAACTTTAATATTTAATTTCTCGAAAACTAAATTGGTCAAATCACTTGAAACACGAACAGTCGATGCATTATTCTGCCAATAACGTTTTGCAAAAATTGTATGTGATTCTTACTATGATTGCTTCTTACTATCTTGCTATAAGTATGATTGATTCTTACTAACTTGCTATAAGTCACCAACCTCTTAAAAATCATCCCGTAATAAAAGACGTAATAAAAGACAGTGTAAAAGACGAGCCGGTAAAAGATCACCGACAATGAGTCATAAATCAATTCAAAGTTCTGTGTATGCCTCATGAATGAGTATTTTATATTGTCATGGCAGAAAATTTTCTGATGACTATTCATGCAGTGATTATATGACTATCAAAATGATATCTGAAACTCGCGATGTCATTGATTGTTAAAACATCAAGTATTCGTCAGTTAAGTCATATATTAATCATATATTAGTTAATTAAATCATATATTCGCCAAATAAATCACACATTAGTTTTATTTTTGCTGTCAATAGGACTTAGGAACATAACATCCCGTGAATGTGGTATATCGACGTCGATTTTCGTCTCACGAGTCCTAATTTAGAACGTTTACTTGGGCCCGTATTCTGAATCCTCTTTTATCGATAAAAGAGGATTCAGAATACGGGCTTTGGTCATTTCGCGACCAAAAATTACCATCATTACGACGTCATTTTGCTACTTGGGTAGCATCGGATGTATTTTCGTGCATATAACGTAATGCAGCATTAAATGTAAGTCGTGCAGATTCCTTAGACTGAAAATAACAATCTTTGTAAACGATACACGTGGCGGTCACAAAAGAGTATGAAGCTTATTCAATGCTGTATATCTCTTGCATCTTGTATAATATTATAATAGCGTCTTGTGGCATTTTATACCCATCTGATGATATTGACGATAATTCAATCAGATAAGATAATCTTTTTTTCCAATGATATCCTCGTTCTGCATGTATGCCATTAGGACAGAACGAGGACGAAACAGATGAAGAGTGCTGAGAATAAGAAATTTATTTGGTCTCGACATGTTACAGGAATGTGTGTGTGTGTGTGTGTGTGTGTGTGTGTGTGTGTGTGTGTGTGTGTGTGTGTGTGTGTGCGTGCGTGCGTGCGTGCGTGCGTGCGTGCGTGCGTGCGTGCGTGCGTGCGTGCGTGCGTGCGTGCGTGCGTGCGTGCGTGCGTGCGTGCGTGCGTGCGTGCGTGCGTGCGTGCGTGCGTGCGTGCGTGCGTGCGTGCGTGCGTGCGTGCGTGCGTGCGTGCGTGCGTGCGTGCGTGCGTGCGTGCGTGCGTGCGTGCGTGCGTGCGTGCGTGCGTGCGTGCGTGCGTGCGTGCGTGCGTGCGTGCGTGCGTGCGTGCGTGCGTGCGTGCGTGCGTGCGTGCGTGCGTGCGTGCGTGACGTGCGTGCGTGCGTGCGTGCGTGCGTGCGTGCGTGCGTGCGTGCGTAGCGTGCGTGCGTGCGTGCGTGACGTGACGTGCGTAGCGTAGCGTGACGTGCGTGCGT